GGAGGCACTCCCTGATGCCCTCCCCCCCCAGGCCGCATGGCTTTCTGGGAGTTGTAGTCTAAAGGAGATTCTCTCACCCCCCCCCCAAGCTTTGGGACCAATACAAACGGCAAAGGGGGAAATCTTATTCTCCTGCCAGGGTGTGGCTCTAAAATATTGACAAACCTCATCAACATTTTTGCACCCTGTTTGTCAGTGAGATCTGGAGGACCATAAATTCCCTGAATTAAAATCCTTGTCTTCCAGCACACACAACACACCGGCTCCCCACCTGCCTATAGGCATTTGTCAGAGGACGGTATAAACGGTCTATAGGCTGACAGCTCTTCAAAAGCCACTTCCCCTCCACGGATCTGAAAAGGCAAAGTAATTCCCACGTGTTCTACTCCAGAGAAGCGCTCCGTCGACTCGACGGGATTCTTGTCTCTTCCCCTACAGAAAGCCGCAAACGGGGCAGGGTCGAGGATTCCCGCCTCCAGCCCCCAAAGTCAAGTCACGTCAGCACACAAACAAGGGGGCATAAAACACACGAACCTGTTTTTGAGGGCCCCGAAGGAGGAGGATGCCATCTGGGTGAGAGGGATGAAGACGGTGTGGCCCTATCGACGTTGTTTGACTACAACACCCATCCTCCTCCACTGTGGGCTATGCTGGTTAGGGCGAGAAGAGGTTGCAATTCAACCACATCCAGAGGATGAGAAACCCCCTGAGTGGAAGGAAAAAAACCATCTCGTTCTGGGCACCCTTCAAAGTGCTGGTTTTGCCTGATCAAGTCTTACAAAGATTTGGGTCCAAGCTACGTGGAAGACCACATTTCCCCTTGATGAGCCTGCCTGGGTTTTAAAGTCATCGGGGAGAGGCCGTTCTCCCAGTTCCCACCCTCCTTCCTGATGCATTTGGTAAAGCCATGTCTTCTCTGTTGCGCCTCTCAAGCTGTGGAACTCCCTCCCACCGGAAACCAGCCTGGCCCCGTCTCTGCTGTCTCTCTGCAGGCAGGCTTTCCCTCAGGGACTGGTGGCTTAAGACCTGGGCTGCTGGTTTGCTTTCTGTTTTGTTTGCCTTTTTTTTCCCGCCTCCCTTCCAGTTTTTACACTGTTTGTTTTTAACACTAAAAGCCGCCTGCGGAAAAAGGCAGGGTGTAAACATCTTAAACCCCTTACCAAATAAACAAACGTGCAGATGGAAACACAGGCTGAGAGAAACATTTACCGAAGGCTATTGTAGCAAGTTCTGAGGAAAAACATGAACTGCAGAATTCCAAATCCTTAGCTATTGGCAGATTGCGACCAGCACGAGATGGAGATCGTCCCTTCTCAGCCGTACCCCCCAAAAATTCTGGGGATGAAGTGCCCCTTGATCCGTGAGCTATCCCTGCTCTCGGCTCCAAGCTTCCTCTCAGCTCAGCCATTCCGCCCGGGAAATTCTGAGGAGGAAAATCCCCAGAAAGTAACTTTTCCCCAACTCAGCTTCAGACAATGCACACATTTTTGGGAGCCCACGGGCAGCCGGATCCGAAGAGCAATCAGCCTAAAGCCCTGCACTGGCGGTTCTACACATTTCCAGATGTGAAAGCACCCCCCATGGAGCTTAGCCAGGCTTGCTCATGAGTCACTTTTGCAGGACATGATCCTGACAGTGCAGCTGGGCTGCTGGCTTTCCTTTCCAGCGAAGGGGGTGCATTTCTGAAACAGGCAGTGAGAGTATAAAGAAGAAATGCAGAAGGAGCAAGACAGCGTTCAGGATCCCTAGCGTTGCTGCTTTTCTTAGCTTCCCTTTCAGAACAGCCGCTTATCTATCGCAGGTCGAAAGTCAGGATTTCCTGGAGAAAAAGGGGGTTACTTCCACCCAAAGGGCAGAAAACCTCTTCCTAGGGTCAATAAGAGGGAAAGAGAAAACTGTTCCCCGAATTTGCAACTGGGGGAGTTTTTGACTCATTCAGCAACAATGACCGAGCCATTCAAGAATTGCAAAACTCTCCCTAGAAGGTTTCTTTTTTCCTGACTGCCCAGAGGATTTTCTTTCTTCCTGACTGCCAAGAGGAAACGCAGTCTCTCTACTCATCAAGGTAAGTGTCACCCACTTCTGAAAGAGCTCTTTGCAAACGCCACCCCAGGGTTGACGAGGACACCCCCAGTCCAATCCCGCAGGTCTGTTATGCAGAACCCCTGACCCAGCAGCACCCCCACCATCAGCTTCCCCCCCCATTGTTAATGCAC